AATGAAGAATAAATGAAAAAAAATTATGCCAGATTTTTTTTTCAGTTCAGAAATGAAAGTCCTTGAATTTGGCAAATCGAAGAGAAACCGGGACTTTCTTACAATTCATCTGAACAAACTTTGAAACCAGGTACTATCCACACATCAACTGTACCGCTATACAGGTAAAATGAGGAATGCACGAGCGGATCCTATGATCCTCGCGTAATAATTGGATCACAAGGAAAGGTGAGAGCAAATTAGTCTAATTGTTGTAAAAAATGTTATTATATGCAAATCTTTGAACGCCATTTCACTGTCTGAAGTATTTTTTATTAAATGCATATTATTTTAATTGCTATTAGCTACCAACGGTTATTCTGTGTTGTAACGAATTGTAGTTTCTTAAAATAATTTGGCCCCATAATTTAAAATTTTGCCTTAATAGCATATTGGCCCCAATCAATTTTTCATTCAATCCATCTCCTAATCCCATTTATTGCTTTCGTTTTGTTGAATTTTCCTTGAAGAATAGAACAGATCTTTAATCAAAAACAACATAACTATATGTATACTCATGCGAAATGTGTAACCTCGTTATAGTTTTTAGCGAGATGATATGGCTCTTATAGCCCAAAGACTGAATCAGAAGCAGAAAGTCAAATCCAAGAGTAACAAAAACCAGCTGCAAAAGTAGGACTCAAATATCATTTGAAAAATTAATATATACATTAAAAACTCACGCCAAACATCTAAAATAAACAATGAAAAAATCGAAAAGGTAGTAACACTTAGGTAAATGTGGTATTAGTTGATGCGTGAGAAATGAAACACCTAGAAGCTAGGAAGCAAATTGGGAAGTAGCATTTCATTAGTATATATTACAAAAATTAAAAAACAATTCGATGAGGGCAGCTTGATTCCAGAAAAGCTAAATCGCAAAAGAGAGGCAAAACATGTCAGAAGTAGAAAAAAGGCAACATGTGAAAGAAGAAAGGAATAGCGATTGCAACGTATTACGAGAAACGATTGCAACGTATTGCAGAAACGGTAAAGAAAAAGGTAAAATAAGAAGTATTGACCTATCACGTAATCCAAAGTGGGGTGATCGGAGAAGAAGAAGAAGATAAAATTGTTATTTTTTAATCAACACTATTCGGTTTTTACGCGCATTTCTCAAACGATTCCCACTCATATTATGAAAGCGAAATCATCTATTCGTTTTTACATTTAATTCAATTAAAACACCGTAATTTAAGATGATTTTTAAATAATTTAAAATATTAATTAGTGAACGTATTCAAAAACTGTAAGAACGAACAAATATGAATATATACAAATTTAATTTACGAAGCATCCTTCTGTAATGTACCTCTATTACGTAAAGACGAAATGCAGTCAATTGAGCAGGCTGTTTTGTCACGCAAATTCCACAAAAAAATACTCACATTTTCAAGCAATTAAACAAGATCATATTTTTAAGATGTTTTTTAACAACACATTTCATTAAGAAAAAAATTGTATCTTCACATTGTAGTTCAAGGAAAGTCAAGGATTTTTTTTAAAATTTTCGCGTAATCAGGCATTTTAACGAGCATGAGACTCACCATATTCTTAAGCGTCCTTTATGCTACGTAGGTCATATATAGTCAAAAAAGGGTTTTAAAGAAAAAAAGTTTTAAATAAAATAAAAATTGTCTAAATTTGACAAAAAAGTTTGCAAGAAATACTCTTTTTTTATTGTAAATTAAAAACTGCCAATACTTCATGCAAAATTACGCCAAAAAGACGCACATTTTTAAAAAATTGAACGTGGACTTTTTTCAAAATCTATATTTAAGAACAGATTTCATTAAAAATATATATATCTTTTATAATTCAAAGGCGCCGAAAAATTTTGAATTTTTGGAAATTTTCGAAATTTAAGATTTTTAACGGAAATAGACCTCTTTCATTTTTCTTAAACGTTCTTTACCCTCTCAACATCAAAATTTAATTACAACTGAAGCACCCTTTTTTAAAAATGCCAGGGGATTCATGTAAAGTACCTCTCAAAAGAAAAATATCGATTTCAAATTCAAGGGGCTGTGACATCAGCAGGATCGATTAGAGAGTATCAATTTTGGAGGCAAATTGGCTGAACGGCTGTAGCCGCTAGCGTTGTTCACACACAACGACGACAGAATTTTTTGGCCTCAATATTTGATTTTTCAAGAATCCGCAAGGATTCTGGCTAGACATGTGCAAGATGACTTTATTTCCAAATTTAGCAACTGGTTGTATCATCTTTTCGTTACCACAGCCTCACAATAAGAGTTTTTCTGCCGAAAATTTGCCACTATTTCCACGAAGCATTACCTAAGAAGTTTCTTCAGACATTACGTTTTAAGAAAGTCCCTCTTCATGGCGAGAAAGTAAAGAGCCCGCTCTACTGGAGAAAAATTGGTATTTCGTCCTTCAGTTCCACATGGTGTTAATAGTGGGGAGGGTGTGGCGTCATCACAGTCCCCTTGTACATACGTACTGTGCGGTACCTGGGAAACGGTACTCTCAACGACAAATAAAATAATATAAAGGGACGGGTACGTTCTCGTGCAATGGGCTTCCCAGGGGGAATTGACCGCTGCATTAGAAAATGAATCGAGAAAACCCTTTGTGTGCAAATTGTAAAAGTTTAATGATTGACACACTATATACATAAATTCTTTACAATACGCACTGCGCAAGGCTTTTTAATAATTGTGCACGAGCAAGCTACCCTTGAAGCCTTCCCGTGTCCACAACGGCTGACCTGGAGGCGGCGTGGCCGCCGTGGCAACGGCGGCGGCGTGTTCGGCAAACTTTTCCGCCCCGAAGCTTTGTCGGAAAAACCGATCTCCGCTACCGCGGTTCGGCTTCCCGCGGACCTCCCGATGCAAGCGGCCAACGAACTCGCCGGGATCCACACCCAAGCCAATGCAAGCAATGTCACAATAACTAACTTGCACAACGCGCAAATGGCGTCCGCGTCGGCAGCTCCGATCACAACCGTTCCTTCTCAATCCGCACTGCGAAACTGTTTCGCACGGTGCGGCCCCTGCTGCATCACACCCAGGCGGACACGGAACGCGCTGTCTGTCGGTCCTCAAATCCAATTATTTAATGTTTCAACCGATCCGGTTCCTGGTGCGCACTTCCGTTTCTCCTAATACATCTGATAATCTGTTTTTTAGCACCTCTAATGCTCCCACCTATGGCTACAATCAGTTCCACACTATTGGTAATCTTTCAGCTAAAACTTCTTGGGGCAGCACAGCCCGTCCGTGTTGCGCCTCGCGGCTTCTCCGCCGATACCTCTCACCCGGCGCTCGCGGCTCCCTGCCGTTATGCTCAACCGTCACTCCCTCGCCGTCTGCCCC